GTTTGCGACGCTATAACTCACGAATGACTTAAAAGAAACGATAATGAAGCAAACATGTGTTAGCGCGTGAAATCAGCTTTCCAAAAAGGTATAGCATGATCCGAAGCGACGAATAAAACTAGWWCTAYGCGCTCTCAGCGCCAACTAGCGAAAATACCGCAAGACTTTTTTGACAAATTAATATTAATAACAAAGATGGATTTTGAGGTTAGCAAAGATGAAAGTTCGTATTTGCTTGGAAATAAACATTTAAAACAGTAACAGACAAATAGATGGCATTAAATTATAACTCGCTTTTCATAGTTTCTCTTTCGTAATTTCGATTAAAGAAAAAATTATTAAACCAATCGTTATAATTCTTTACAATCTTTCGAAATAGACTTCTTTTGCATGCTTCTACAAGCATTGAAAGTAACACGGAAGAAATAGCCTTCAGCGATCCCAAATGCCTTCCTTTCATCGGCCTTTCCAGAAAAGGAAATAAAAAAGTCCGGAAGCCTCATCTGGCCTGTAGGGCAGCTGCGGAAATGTTATACCGCCCTTGGTTAGTTAACTGTTCACAAGAAAGGTGGTGTGAGCCGGGGCGTTTTTCCAATCGGTTGCGATGTCTTGTCGGACCCGACTAACTCTTCGTTTGAGTCTCTTGGCGACTTCCACGTAAAACTTGGCGTTGACGGTGTGTCCAGGAGGAACAAATTCATGGTGGACGATCCCTTTGATGTCAAGACAATGAGCATCGTTTGCACTTTGCATTTACCGGCTCCCAAAACCATCCGGTGGCACCGAAACACACCACTTCTTGCTAAAGCAACATCTGGGTAAGGTTGCTTGATCATATCAAACGCTTCTGTCGCAAATTTGCAGCATTCTTTTGAGATCTGAGGACAGGAGATAGTCGCTGGGGGCTAAATGTGTTAATACGGTGGATGCAGAAAAAATTTGGAGCGCAGTTCATAGATTTTTGACATCTTTTTCACTGACTCTTGACATTCTTTTTCTTCAAACGCGGCCATTTTGCGGCGATTTCGTCTCTCCAACAGTCCAATGTATGTGATAGTCCCTGTAGATGGTTCATCTTTTTTGAGGGGTCAGTAGGATAATAATAAATAAAAAAGTAATTAACTTTATTTTTTTTAATCTTTCCCCATATTTTTTTTTACATAAATTTTGTTATAACGATAGTCAGGCGTTTTGTGAACAAAAAGTAAGTAAGTGTCACAAAATGACAATTCAATTATAAAAGGTTGCATGACATTTAGCGGTAGATGGCGCATAATACGGCGCAGTGCTGCCACAGCCACTCCCCTTCCAATGAACCCCTTAGGGAAAGGTAAGATACTTCAATAAGTCCTTTGTGGTACAGCAGGATTAGGATGAGTGCTGTCACCTACGATTACGAATGCCGGCTTAAGGCGATCCGTTGAGATGTTAACTTCGCTGCCGTTGATTCTCACTGTAAACACTCGATCTGACTGCCGACTGACTATTGGATATGGGCCGGTATACGGTGGTTCCAAAGGGGCCGTACGAAGACATGTGAACACTCGAACATATTTTTCAACACGAACAGTTTCGGCCTTTGATGATGTGCGACAGCAGAGGGTTTGACTTTTTGCATGTGCTTTCTG